TAATGCAAAACTGCTCAAAACTGCAAAAATATATTCAGTAGACGTAAGTGCACGAAGATGTTAGCCTAAAAAGTATAGCTTATAGATTCTAAAAAATAAGAAATTATTACATTCAGTTGAGCTGCGCTCAGATTAGGTGTGCATGGCAGTATTTTAGGTGTTATTGATAGTATTGTGGGGATTTTATGGGAAAATAATACCACAGTCAATGAAAAGTCAATATACCTCATTGAAATGTTGTTGGAGTTTTTCATTAGCAAAGTTAATGCAAAACTGCTCAAAACTGCAAAAATATATTAAGTAGACCTAAGTGCACGAAGATGTTAGCTAAAAAAGTATAGCTTATAGATTCTAAAAAAGGAGGAATTATTACATTCAGTTGAGTTGCGTTCAGATTAGGTGTGGATGGCAGTATTTTAGGTGTTATTGATAGTATTGTGGTGATTTTATGGTAAAATAATACCACAATACTACCAATAACACCTAGAATACTACCAGTCGTACCTATGGAATCCGGATGGAATATTTTCTCCTAAAACACACCAGTAAAAAGTAAATTTAAAGATAAAAAACAAGAATTAGAGTAAGGAAAATGCAGCAAACAAGAAACCACAGCTACAATTGAAAACAGGAAAACCCATTCTATCAAATCCACAACTACTTAAACCCAGAGTTAAAATCTAGCATCAACAATTAAATAAAGATTTGGGGCTTTTTGTGTTCTGCATTACCGGATAGCACGAGCCTATTCTATAGATAGATATAAGCAACGAAATCTAGTAGAGCAGTCCTCTTATCATTTCCTTCTTTATGTAAGCTCGCTAACAGATAATAATATTTCTTATGCTAACCAACTAAGTAGAAACCCCCTAAATGGGATACCATCTGCAATGGAGTAACACTTTGATGATCAGTAAAGGCAAAGTAAAACTGCACAGAACTGTCAAAGTTATGGGGCAACAATTTCAACTACTCTAAATTAGGTTTCAAAATTGCACATGAAATTCGAGTGAATGGTAAAGGAAAAGCCAACAACATAGAAACACTTATCAGAATGGTGGACTAATCCACAAAATTATTGTCCTCGAGATAGCACAAACAATAATTCAAACGCAACCACCATCAGAAAATTTTCTAAGCCTTAAATGGTTGGCATGGGATAATCTTAAATAGGGCTCGCATATGGTGACGAAAAAGAGAGTTTCTCCAATCAATTTCCTTTCACTTTCATATCCTTCATTCTTTTCACATGATATCATTTGTCTTTCAGAGAATCCAGCCCCTTGCCTCTATTAGATTCATGAAAAATTATATTTGACGATCAAGACATTGCTGCTCTTCTTATTCTCTATCGGACGTGATGGGCTTGAAGATCACAAAAGATCTCACAAAATACGGTATGGTGTAGGTTATAAAAACTCTTTTTCTCCATTGCTCCTTATTGTCATAATTTCATTTAATTCTAACATATTAAGATCATTTCTTATACAATATGTCAATGTCTTTTTAGATTTACCTCTTCTTTCTTAACATAAATCAAATCTAAAAAATATACTCTCCTAGCAGGATCATCAGATGGTCGACGTTTAATGTGACCAAAACATCTAAGACGACTCTCTCTAATCTTGTCTCTCACTGGAGCTACACAAACCCAATCACGGATATATTCATTTCGCATTTTTATTTCTAAGTGTCAAGCCACTAATCCGCCTAAGCATTCCCATCTCACCAACACTTAACTTTGTTTTATGCTTCTCTTTTAAAGGCCAACATAGAGGATTACAAGCCTCACCACAATCTTGTAAAATTTCCCTTTTAGTCAAATTATTACTTTCTATCACACAATAGGCCCGATGCATTCCTCTACTTCAACAAACCAACTTGAATTCTACCAACTTGAATTCTACACCAACTTGAATTCTACTAATAACATCCCAATTTATATCACCATCACTTCGAACAATAGACCCCAAATATCTAAAATGTTCACACATTTTAATAATTTGATCACTCATAGCCACAATTTTGGCACTAGAACTGCTACCAATAAAATTATATTCCATGTATTCATTTTTAGATCTACTAAAATGAAAGCCTTTAGACCGCCACAATTTAAGTCTTTCCTGAAATTTTTCTCTAATCTTATCCAAAAGAAGGATATCTTCCGCGAAAACCATATGACAAGGCATATCCTCTTGTAAATGTGCAGTAAGAGCATTCATAACAAAAGCAAAATGATATGGGCTTAAAGTAGATCCCTAATGTAATCCAACTGAAATATGAAAATACTTGATCAATCCTCCTCTTGTTCGTACCCAAGTAGCAGCTCTAGTAAACATATCTTTACTAACATAAATATAATTCAAATCAACTTCTTTCTTCTCTAGAACTCTTCAAAGGACTTCTATTTATAACTTTGTCGTAAATATTTTTCTAAATCAATAAAAATCATATATAGATCCTCCTAAATATCTTTATACTTCTCCATCAACCATCTCAATAAATGTATAGCTTTCACAGTAGACCTGTCCTGTATAAATCGAAACTGATTATGAGAAATCTTTGTATCACAACTTAAACTATATTTAATTACCCTCTCCCATAATTTTAAAATATGATACATCAACTTAATTCTTCTATAATTTGCACACTTGTATGAATCCTCATTATTCTTAAAAATGGGGAAGAAAATAGTCTTCATCCACTCCTCGGACATTTTTTTTGTTTTTAAAATAACACTAAAGAGTTTAGTAAGTCAAGAAACTCTCGAATGTCCCAAATATTTCTAAACTTCAATTGGGATATCATGAGGTACTATTGATTTTTCACACTTGATTTTCCTTAAAGCCTCCTCAAATTTCTTTTTTAATAATGCAACGGTAAAAATAAAATATTTTTTTATTATTAACGATATTAAAATCACTGAAGGTTGATTGTAATTTCAAAAGCCTCACTAAAAAATTTATTAAAATAGCTCACCCACATATGTTGAATATCTTCCTCTATCAAAATCACTTTTTAATTTTCATCTTTAATACATTCTATTTAAATTAAATCTTTAATTTTTTTTCTTTGTTTAACTATTTTATACAAATATTTTTTTACTCTCTTTAGTATCAAAATTGTTGTAAATATCCTAAAAATAGAATTTTTAGCATTACAAATTATTATCTTAGACTCTCTACAGGCCACATCATATTTTTCTCAGTTCTCCAAGCTTTTACATTTAAACAAGTTTATATAACATTTCTTAAATTTTATATGTTTTTGCAAATTATTATTTCACCGCCAACCATTCTTCTTTATAAAAATTTTTCATTTTGATTATCAGATCTTTTGTCAGCTGTTTGACAGTGCTTTTATTTTGGGTGTGTTTGGGGCAACCCCAAACAGACATTTTACCTCACATAAAATTCGCTTCTTCAGGAACATATCTCACATAAAATTCGCTTCTTCATGAACATCCCAAATTTTTAAACTTACTCATAAAAGTAATTGTATTTGTATAGTTTAGGTACCCCTTCTAATTCTAAAATAATGATTTATTGTATTATTTATCTTGCAATTCTTTATTTTAAAATCTAGAACAAATAATCAATATTGCATACATAAATTTTCACTTGAAATAAATCTACAATATTTACGCTCTCGACGGTCTTTTTCTCATAAAAAAATAATCAATTTGTGTTTTATATGATCCATTCTTGTAAGTAATAATATGCTCATCTTTTTCTTAAACAAAGTATTAGCAATAAAAAAATCACAGGCTAAAACAAAATCTAATATAGTTTTATCTTCTTTATTAATCACTCCAAACTATAACCACCATGAATAAATATAAAATCTTATACAACTCTACCAACATCTTCATATAAATCTCCTCCACTAAAAATTCTTTTTTCAAGAGATATCATTTGTATTAATTCTTCTAGGTCATTCCAAAATTTTCCTATTCAACCGATATCTAAACCTACTTGAGTAGCATAAGAACTTATAATAGTTCCAATGAGAATATTTAGAGTTATAATTTTATCTCTAATTCTATTAAATTTTACAATATTATCTTTCAAATTTTTATCTATAAGTACACACAATTTCTAGTGCGACTCATACTATAATACCAAAGTTTAAAATTTAAACTATTAATCTCCTTAGCATTTTTCCAACCCATTTTGTTTCTTAAATACATAAGATGTTTATCTTCATATGATCCATAATATCAACTAATTTCATTAATTTATTTTTAAGAGTACCTATATTCCAATATTATATCCTAATATTAATTTCATGAACTAACTTTTATACCTATATTCCAAGATTATATCCTAATATTAATTTCATGAACTAACTTTTTTACTCGTATTTATCTGGAATACGGGAACTCTTGCTTATTTGACACTACGCATAGGCCCCGATGTAGCAGCCCTTACACACTTTTTTATTTTATTCAAGTCATACAGCACGTTGCTTCCAGGGAATGCCCTAGCATTTACACCTTACTTCAGAGGGGCGCTAGCGCTTGACTCAAACTAAGCATGTATTTTCGATAAACTGAATTAATCTTTAAACCAATCATGCTTTCCCTGAAAAATCAACCTTGTCAAGTAAAAGAAGGAATTTTCCCTAATCTCTACTTATCTATCATGGCCTTCGGAATGCAACAAAACTAAGGGCTAGATTAACAAAGAGAAGAGAGTTACAAATAAAAGTTTCAGGAAAACATAGCCAGTAAGCATCCCAACCATGATGAAACTACAAGATTTATATAATCACAAAATCTGCATTACGATAATAGGCAGACGTGACTATCTTTCCCGGCATAAAAGAATAAGATGATTGCAAGGTCAAGGTATTCAGCATCAGAAAAGGTCCCAAATGGATAGATAGTTGAAAATGCGATTTAATGTACAGTAGCATGCAACTTGAGCATAGATGGCATTCAATGCCGCACTGCGTATAAACGACGCCCGCATACGGTCAGGGAACAGCACCCTGAAGCGGAGTGCTCGAAACCGCGTGGTCGAAGTTCAGCAAAACCTCGTAAAGTCGTGTGAAGTCTCGCGATCCAATAAAGACGGGAGAACCCGCGGAAGAGAGAAATCGCGAATTCTCGCAATCCAACTAAGCTATTAGCACAAGATCTTTTTTGGGAAGTAATTTTTAGATTCCTCTAGGCTTTCCACCTATCTCTTTTGTGTAGAAAATTCTCCTAAGCCTATAAATTGTTGTCTTTATCTATGTGTGAGTCAGATTTGAGTTGTGTTTGAGTTTAGTTTAAGATCT